TTGAGATTTTTCTTGTTTCTTGAGATAGGCCTGTATTGTTATAAACTTCCTTCTTAGTACCACTTTTGCTGCATCCCATAAGTTTTGGTATGGTGTATTTTCATTTTCATTTGTCTCTGGGTATTTTTTGATTTCTCCTTCGATTTCTTCATTGATCCCATAGTTGTTCATTAGCATGTCTTTTAGTTTCCAAATATTTGTGACTTTTCCAGCTTTCTTCTTGTATTTGATTTCTAGTTTCATACAATTGTGGTAGGAAAAGATGGGGCTTGACATGATTTAAATCTTCTTATATTTATTGAGGCTTGTTTTGTTTCCCAACATATGGTCTATATTTGAGAATGTTCCATGTGCACTTGAGAAGAATGTGTATTCTGCTGCTTTTGAATTGAATGTTCTGTATATATCTGTTAAGTTCATCTTGTCTAGTATTTCATTTAAGGCCAGTGTTTCCTTGTTGACTTTCTGTCTGAAAGTGGAGTGTTAAAGTCTCCTACTATTATTGTGTTGCTGTTAATGTCTCCTTTTAGGTTTGTTAATAGTTGCTTTATATACATTGGTGCTCCTATGTTAGGTGCATATATTTTAATAAGCATTATGTCTTCTTGGTGAAATGTTCTTTTTATCTTTGTATGATGTCCATCTTTGTCTTTTGTTATCTTTTTTAGCTTGAGGTCTATTTTATCTGATATAAGTATGGCTACACTCACTTTGTTTTGCTTGCCATTTGCTTGGCATATCTTCTTCCAGCTGTTCATTCTGAGCTGAGGTTTGTCTTGAGAGCTGAGTTGGGTCTCCTAGGGGCAGCATATCATTGCTTCCTGTTTTTTAATCCATCCAGCCACTCTGTGTCTTTTGATTGGTGAGCTCAGTGCATTTACATTTAGAGTGATTATTGATATATGAGAGTTTAATATTGCCATTTTATTTTTTGTTTTTTGGTTGTTCTATGTTTCCATTTTTTCTTTTTCCTTGTATTTCTGTCTGCCATTTCACTTTGGTGGTTTTCTGTGATGGTTTTCTCAGTTTTCTCACTATTTATGATTTGTGACTCTGCTCTGATTTTTTGCTTTGTAGTTACCATGAGGTTTGTATAAAAAATCTCACAGATGAGATAGTCCTTTTTCAGCTCATAGCCTCTTACCTCCATTACCCTATGCAGGTTCTGTCTTTTTCCTCTTCCCCTTCTATGTTTTTGCTGTCACAAATTATCACTTTTTTATGTTGTGAGTTTGTGTCCATATTGAAGTGGTTATAGCTATTTTTGATGCTTTCTTTCCCATTAGCCTTTATGTTATAATTGTTTAATAACTTATTCTGATATAGAGTTGCAATTTTCTGATTTTGTCTGTCTATTTATCAGCTTGCTCAAAGCTTTGTAAACCTTTGCCTTTTTGATTGGGGTAGGAGGGCTCCTTTCAACATTTCTTGTACAGCAGGTCTGGGGGTGATGAACTCCCTCAGTTTTTGTTTGTCTCAGAAAGCTTTTATTTCTCCTTCATATCTGAAGGATAACTCTGCTGGATAGAGTGTTTTTGGCAATAGTTTTCATCTTTCCATATTTTTAATATAACACTCCACTCTCTCCTAGCCTATAGAGCTCCTGCTGAGAAATCAGCTGATAGACTGATAGGGGTCCTTTGTAAGTTATTTTCTCTATCTGGCCACCCTTAATATTCTTTCTTTGTCATTGTCTTTTCACATCTTTTTTGGCTGAGGAAGATTTGCCCTGAGCTAACATCTGTGGCCAATCTTCCGTTATGTGAGCCACTGCCACAGCATGGCCACTGACAGATGAGTGTCATAGGTCTATGCCCAGGAACCGAACCCAGGCCACTGAAGCAGAGCACACCAAACTTAACTATTAGGCCACCAAGGCTGGCTTTTGACCTTTTTAACATAATATGCCTTGGATAAGGTCTTTTTGTGTTGATATGATTAGGAGTTCTACTAGCTTTATGTATTTGTATATCCAGTTCCTTCCCCTGGCTTGGGACGTTCTCAGCTATTATTTCTTTGAATAAGTTCTCTGCCTCTTTCTCCCTCTCTTCTCCTGGGATACAAACTATCCTTATGTTGTTTTTCCTAATTGAGTCCCATATTTCTTGTAGAATTTCTTTATTTTTTTAAAAATCTTAGTTGTCTCCTGCTTGAATCATTTCTATATGTCTATCTTCAAGCTCACTAATTCTCTCTTCCTTATGGTCTGCCCTATTTATAATGCTTTCTGCTTTTTTTTTTTCATTTCATTAATTGTGTTCTTCATATCCAGAATTTCTGTTTGGTTTTTCAGAGTTTCAATCTCTTTGGTGAAGTACTCCTTCTGTTCATTAGTTTTATTCCTGAGTGCATTGAACTGTCTTTCTGAGTTTTCTTGTAATTCATTGATTTTCTTCATGACAGCTATTTTGAATTGTCGGTCAGTTAGATTGCAGTGTTCTGTGACTTCAAGTTTGGTTTCTGGAGAGCTGTCACTTTTTTCTGTTCTGCCTTGTAATATAGTTCTTCATGGTACCTGATGAGTTGATCCTCTGCTGGTGCATTTGTGACAGTAAATAACTTCCTTATTTGGGTAAGACTTTTGTTTATTTTGGTTCTGAGCTGCTTCTGGTTATATTTGAGAGCCTGCACTTCCACCCTCTGCCAGAGGCATCCTCAGTGCCCTCCTTGTGCCACTTGTGCCTCTGAGATTGCTGGTGCCTTGCTGCTTATGATGTCACTGCAGTCTCAGTTGTTGCCACCAGGGTTACCAGGCTGTGAGTACTTCTGCTTCCAGCATCACCTGTGTATGTGTTCCCTTGCTGGCTCTCTGCAGGCTCTCCACAGGCTCAGGTGCTGCTGCCCCAGGCATCCTCTTATGCTGCTCTCAGGTGCTGGCAGCACTGCTGCCAGGGGCAATGGGCTCACAAGTGTCACTGTTGTTGCCAGGGGCCCATGGTCTTGTAAGCAGCCCCCACTGCTGGTACACCCAGTGTCAGAGGTGCCACCACTGGGGACTGGGTGATGGATTCTTCTGTGGTTTCTGTAGCCTCAGGTCACAAGTGCCACCTGCCGCTGCTGGGGGAGGGGCAGGGGCTAAGCCGTGAGTGTTCTTGCTGGTTTTGTAGCCTGTGGTCCCCGGGGTATGCTGTTGCACTTTTTGAAGCCTCAGGTCAGGACACTACACCCCAGGCAGGGAAATCCGCAGTTTGCATGCTATCCTCACTGTTGGAAAGACCAGTGCCACTGCTGGGGGAGAGGAAGGCGACTGAGTCACTGGCTCTGCTCTATGTCTTGAATCCTCAGGATGTGTGCGCCACCCACCACTGCTGTGGGCGTGGCAGGGGCTAAGCCACAAGTGCCATGTCTGCCCCTGTAGCCTCTGTTCACAGGCATGTGCACTGGTGTGAGGATCCGCATTTTGGATTGCTGCCACCAGGGGAGGCAGAGGGGCTACTCCCTTAGTTCCATGTTTCCCTAGGGATCCAGTCCACCCACCTTCAGATGTATAGATGCCTGGATCTCTCGGGTGTTCTAGTGTGCTGCGCAGGGAGTTATTTGTTAGTCAATGGATGTCCAACTGGTTATAACGCAGAGGGGAGAGACAAAGTGAACAACTCACTCCACCATGATTCTGATGTCCTTACTCTCAATTGTAACTTTAATAGCATGCTCCTGAGAAATTCCATGTGCAATGGCATTTCCTAAATTAATGGAAAGTGACAATATTTCATCAGCTAGTGCCTGTGGATTCCAGAATATTCTGTCTTGCCATTATGAGATGGGGGTGGGGAAGTATCTTATCTCTTAGTGCAAAAATTTTTCTTTAATTAGAGCTAATGTTTAACACTGATTCTTGGAAAACTTTAGCACATATACATTTGCTTTGCTTCTCAAAATAATAGTCATTTTTTCATATTGTTGCTTTTCATTTTTAATGTTAATATACTTGTCATTCAACATTTTGTTATTATTGATGCAATAATTTTACATTTAAAAAATAATCAAATATGTGGTCACTAAAATGTCTATGTATGCTCATCATAGCATGTTTAATATTGTAAAAATAACCTAAATGTGTTACAATAGAGAATGGTTAAATTAATTATGAGAGTCCTAAACCTGGAATAGTACTGCACCATTACAAATGATTCAAAAATCTTTTTGTGATATGGAAAAATTCTTAGAATGCAATATTATAAGTGAAAACCAGGGCTCCAAAGTGAATATACAGCATGACATAAACTGTGATAAAACTTATTTGCATAGAGAAAATACTAGAAACACACTCCAATGTTAATAATGGTTTGTTTTGAGTGGTAGGAATTGTGAATGATCATCATTTTCTTCTCTGTACTTATCTGGATTTCCAAATTGCATTTAATGGTCACACATTTTATTTGTAATAAGAAATACATTCCTTTTTTTTTGAAAATGACTATTGCTTTTGATATAAACTTTTAAAAAGTAAATCATATTTTTTTTGCTAGTATTCATTTTCAGAACCAGTCATTTCTGTGACTATACATAATTTCAGTTCCTCCTTAATGCAGAAAATGAAAGGCAATATCAAAGAAAGCCATAATTACAGTTATTTTCTATAAGGTCATTTCATACTTGAATGCTTCTTGAGCACTTTCAAATAACATGGGTCTTCTTAAAGTCTGTGAAACACGGCATAAATGATGTACAAAAGGGAAACAAAATGTGTTTAGTATCTGGAGAATACAGAGTTCATGCTCTCCTTCCCCTGAATTCCTTACGTAGTTTACTTTGCAATATGAGTTTTGTTTCAAGCAGAGAAGGCAGGAATTTCTATTTTAAAATTCACATAAAATGTAAGAGATTTTGAAGTTTTTGGACTAGAAAACATGATACACGATTGTATACAAGAAATTGAGTAAAAACTTATAATCTTCCCTGCAAAGAGAGAGAAATTTTATATTAATGAGGCTGTATTGTGAGTGTCAACTGGATGTTCCTCCATTGCTGTATCAGCTTCTTGATGCTGCCTTACAAATGACCACATGCTTAGTGGCTTAAAACAACAGAAATGTATTCTCTCACAGTTCTGGAGGGTGAAAGTTTGAAATCAAGCTGTTGGTAGGGCCATGCCGCTTCTTAAGGTTCTGGAGAAGAATCCCAGCTTGCCTCTCCCTAGTTGGTGGTGCTTGCCAGCAATCCTTGGAGAAATTCTTGGAGTTCCTTGGCTTGCAGCTTGGTCACTCCGTTTTCTGCCTCTTTTTTCACATGGCTGTCTTCCCTCTGTGTCTGTCTGTGTCCAAATTTTGCCCTTCTAATCTACCCACTCTAATCCAATATGACCTCATCTTAACTTGATTATATCTGCAAAGAACATATTTCCCAATAAAGTCACATTCATGGGTACCAGGGATTATGACTTCAATGTATGTTTTCTTGGGACACAAATCAAAACACAACACTCCCTCTCTCTTCTTTCCTTCCTTCTTTTCTTCCCTTTACTTCCCTCCTTCCCTCCCTCCTTCCTTCCTTCCACAAACGAAACACTTTCTTTTGTTTCCTTGAAACTTCAACCTCCCAGATGCATTTAAAGCTCGTTGGCTACTCTCTGTCTCATCGCTGGAGCCTTCTTTTCTGTCAAGCCTTTAAAATTTGCTGTGCCCAGAACTTGATCCTGGACCTCCTGTCTTTAGAAACCTTACATTTTCCCTAGGTAATTTTATCCATATCCAGGCTCTAAATACTGTTTACAAAACCTTGTATTTTGGAATTCCTTGGGCCACCTCACTATGCCCTACTATTCATTGGTTCCCTGGATGGTACTATTAATTTCAGGCTTTCAAACATTATCTAGCAGCAGAGAATTCTTACACTTATATATCTCCACTTTTTATTTTCTGAACTCTAATCCCTTTTTCCACATCTCCATTTGATGTCTCACAGGCATCTCAGAATGAACATGTTCAAAATTCATTGTAAAGGGCTCTCCCTCCCATTCCTAAGATGCTTCCTCCTTTAGAGTTTCCCATCTCGGGAATGGCCCTAACTTCCACTCAGTTGCTGGTGGGGGGAATTGATCTCAGTTAGCTCAGACTTTAACCCCATTTCCTCTGGTTTGCTTCTAAATCTTGACAGAAAAGAAGAAACCCCAAAGAGCCTAAAAACAGGGGCCAGAGGAGTAGGAGAATGGAGAGTCAGAGAAGTGAATGGAAGAATGTCTTAAGAAGAGATTCATCAGCTGTTTTAAACGGTGTGACATTCTTTATAATGAAAAATAGAAAATTTCCTTTAAATGAAACAACATGGAAGTCAGTTTTGACTTTAGAAAGCGGGCTTTTAATGAATATGTTGTGATGGAATGGGTCAAGACACAAATGGAGGACAAGGAGGTGGAGAGGGATGGCATCCAAGGTCAACTCTTTGGAGCAGCTTGGCTGTGAAGGCAAGAAAAGCGACCAGGTGATGGCTTCCTAGGAGATAAGGGGTGCAGGGGTAAGCCTGTTGTTTAATGTATTCATTTATTTGCTTCTATTGTTTTAGAACACGTATTCGCCCAGTAGAGCCATCAGAGGTTGATATAACGGAGGTAGGACACTTGATGGAACAAAAATCCTAAGAATGAAGATTGGGATGGAGTTCAAGAGCACGTGATAGATTTGACCCCTGGTAGAAAGACTGGCACCTCTGAGATTGAAACAGAAGACTCTTTCCCTGGAAATACTTGCAGCTTCAGATGAATTTATGGATTAAGTGACGGGAAGGTGAGTAAATATCTGATGTCTTCTCTTTTTGTTGGGGAGTGTGAGGGAAGGTCAGCCACTGAAAGTGATTGATAAGGAGGGGGGCATGAGGTTTGTGGGAAGTGAAGAAGATGGGAAACAATTTCCTTAGCAATTGGAAGAATGAGCCGATTAGAGAAGCATGGAGGAGTATCTGGCAGTTGTAGGGGCCAAGTTGCAATTGGTAATCATGAATTCAGAGTAATATCAATATGTCTTTATTTAATTTATTATTCTGATGTAGACTGCTAATGCATAGCAGTAGATGTTTTAAGGACGTTGGACAGGAGGTTGTCCCCTCGGGAAGTCAGCTGGAGGCTCCTAAGGAGCATTACAAAGTAGCATCAATCTTGGTGAATCCACTGCAGATTGGAGGTTAGACGGCTGCTATGAGGGATCAGAACTTTGATTTAACAGCCTCTGAAGGGTCATACATCTTTCAGGAGCAAACCTGATGTTACTCAGGCTCACAAGACATGATGTGTAAGACAGAATCACAATTTATTATTTACAATTATCACTAGAATTGATATGCTCACACTGGCATGATTTCCCCTTTTTCTTTTATGCCTAGAATATCAGATTATAATCAAATAGTGGCTTCATGAACATGAAATTAGAGCAAAGGGGATTAGATGAATGAATCAGTTCCAGGATGACATAGAATGTATAATAGCCTTGACAACAGGTACACTTTTGCCATAAGGACAGAGATGCCAGATGAATTGGGCCAGGACACCCCATCTTTGGGCAGCAATGACTTGTGCACAGCCACTGTAGGCTCTCCACCTCATCTCTTTTTCAGCTTTCCTAGCTTGTTCATTCTCCTCCAAATGACACATTTTTTCTTTACTTACTTTGGCCTGGGACCTATTACGCAACATTAAGTTGTTTCGCATATCTCTACTTTATTCCATGATGGGTGGATTCATAATGAATTCCCCCATGGCAATCTTAACTTGCCTCTTTTCCATGTTCTTGGAATATAGATTGCCAAATCGATCAATCATATCTATACTTTAACAAAAGTAGTTTATGATTCAGATATTTCATCAGCACAATTAAGAAATGTTATAATTTTTATTTTCTCCTGATTTTATAACAATTTGTTATTTTTAGTTTGTGACCAATTAATGAGAAGAAAAGTAATAAAGATAATCTTAAAATTACAAGTGATACATGAAGATTAAATTGTTTTCCTTAACACTTATCAGCAACATCTAGAGAAATACTTAGAAGTAACTTAATGTTAATTAGCTCGGTTTACAAAGAGTAAACATACAATTCTTTTAACTGTATAACAAATCACATTCTGTTAATTGGCCTGGTTTACACAAAGTAAACACAGTACTTTTAACAGTAGCTGTAATCCTTTAAAAATAAAGTGTGACTATACAACGTTTCATCCTTTGACTTGCCCATACTGCAGGACTAAAATGCTGAGTAAAGAAATCCTGAATCCTCTTCTCCCAGTTTCTCAAACTAGCTCTACAGGAAAGATTTTCAAAAGTCCACTTTAAGAAATTTAGTGGCCGTGGGAACATATTAAAAGAGAAGTAACTAACCTTATCAGAGATACGTATTTCTGAAAGTCTTTTGTAGAGGCCTAAAGAACATTTCTATTTCTTTTAGTCTTATAATCTCGCTCCTTAAATATTTCCAGATTCTCTTATGCTCCAATTATTTCTTTCCTGGATACATGCTAAAAGACTGTTAAGCAGAAATAATTTTTTAAACATTTTCTTCTAGAGGTAACCAAGAGATCTAATTTCTTATCTTCTCCGAGGCCATTGCTACGCCAGGCCCGAAGGAGTCTGTGCTGGGGCCCCATTTCCATCAGTGACCTCAATGTCAATACCTTAGGGACAACAACAAAATTATAACAGTAATAATGATGCTACTTTTCATTTGAACACCTATAAATCAGGAACCTTCCTTGCACTGTTTCATTTAATTCTACTTAATCCTCAAAGCAAACGTTTCCAGGATTCAATTGCAGGACAGGCTCTACACTGGCCAAAGGCCTGTTAGCATGAGTCCCAGACACTTCTGGGGACATTTTCATCATTCTAGTTCCACACCTGGGAGTTCATGTATCTATTTGGACCAGGCTCTGTTAGCCTGAGGAGACTAGTAATAAGTGGGGAGAAGTTCCTTCAATATATATTATGCATTAAATAATTCTGGGATTGATGAGGGGCATCTGGCTCAGGCAAAAAGGTTTCCAGCATGTTTTCAGGCAAGGCCATCCGTAGGATGATCCCGGTCTTATATATGTAAGCCACATCTGTAAGAAAACACAGAGGCCTCCTGAAGTTCTGATGTTGCTTCATTCCCTGACCGATCATCAACCCCGAATATGCATCTCGCCACCAGTTCCACCACCACCACCTTGTCTCCCGTCCTCCCTCCGGGTAAAGCGTCTCCCTTTGCCCTGAATGATGTTTATCTGCCAGCTGTCCCCACCGTACTGACTTCCTTCTGTATCCTTTAGATGAGAAAATTCTATCTGACTTGCCCAAGTGTTTTCTCTAATTTAGGTGTTTCCAGAAACCTGAAATTACTTTTAGCAGATGTGTATAGAGGGATTATACAGCATTACCATCCCTCTTTTTATTAATTAAAGAAAAAAAACCTGGAAGGCAACGTGGTTGAGTAATGTTACAGTGGCATCTAGCATTCAAACAAAATCTGTGTGGTTTAACTACTCTCATCCTACATTTCACTGTGACCCCAGTGTGATGTTGGCCATGGGAACCCACCTTTTCTTGATTGAAGAAGCACTCTACGTGTACTCACACCCTAAAGTAACAACATAGCCCTAAAGCAGTGGTTCTCAATCAAGGGAAATTCTACCCCCAGAGCACACTTGGCAATATCTTTAAATGTTTTTGATTAGAGGCCAACCCCGTGGCTTAGTGGTTCAGTGCACGCGCTCTGCTACCGGCGGCCTAGGTTCGGATCCCGGGTGCGCACCGACCTTACCTCTTGTCTGGCCATGCTGAGGCAGCATCCCACATACAGCAACTAGAAGGATGTGCAACTATGACATACAACTATCTACTGGGGCTTTGGGGAGCAAAAAGGGGGAAAAAAAAGGAGGAGGATTGGCAATAGATGTTAGCTCAGGGCCGGTCTTCCTCAGCAAAAAGAAAAGGATTGGCATGGATGTTAGTTCAGGGCTGATCTTCCTCATAAAAAAAAATAAATAAATAAATCTTTTTGATTATCACAACAGGGGCTGCTGCTGGAAACCAGTGGATAGAGACCAGGGATGCTGCTACACATCCTGCAATGCACAGGACAGTCTCTTACAACAAAGAATTATCTGATATAAAATATATCAGGTCAAGGTTGAGATATTTTGCTCTAAAGCTTTTTGGTTTTCTGTAAAATAGAACAACGCTTTGAATATTTGTGAGGCAGACGTGCTTTATCTGTGACCACTCCCCACTTGCCCATCTGGACATCTCTGCCAGATCTGCTGTTCTTTCCTCCTAGACCGACCTCTCTGAACAATGGGATGATGCTCACTCCAAATTATTTGCATTTGTGTATTGGATGTTTATTTCTTTAGCATTTACTTATACTAATATTTTTAAAGTGGCCATAATAAATAATTACATGGTTACAAAGATATTTTTCAAAACCCTCAAAAATTATATGTGGAAAAAAAGAGAATTCTAATTCAGTTCATCTTTTTAGTTTATAATCTGAGGCTCTTCCTCTATTCCAAACATATAACAATAATGGGTAACATGTAAAAAAGAACATTAAAAATGCATTACCATTTTCCTCAGAGTAAAAGCCAATCTCCTTTGAGGATCTGTGAGATCAGCGCTTCCTCACCTCTCTGACCTTGTCTTGGACCACTCTCTACCTGGCTCACTCCTGTTCAGCCGCAATGGCTACTTTGCTGTTCCCTGATCATGATGAACTTGCTCCTGCCCCAGGGCCTGTGCACTTGCCACTCTCACTTCCTAGACTCACTCCTCCAGCTGACTTCATGGCTAGCTCCCTCATTTCCTGTAGGTTTTTACTCAAATATCACCTCATCAACACTTTCTTCATTACCTTATGCAATAGGGAGTGTGTGTGTGTGTGTGTGTGTGTGTGTGTGTGTGTAGATAGACCGACGGAGAGAGAGAGAGAAGGAGAGGGAGAGAGAGAAAGATTAATTTTAAGGGATTGGCTCATATGATTGTGGGGGCTGGCAGGTCCAAAATCTATAGGATAGGCCAGCAGGCAGGAGACTCAGAGCAGAGTTGTTGCAATCATGAGTCCAAAGGCAGTCTAGAGGCAGAATTCCTTCTTCTTCTGGGGACCTCAATCGTTTCTCCTAAGGCCTTCAACTGATTGAATGAGGCCCACCCACGTTATGGAGAGTAATCTGCTTTACTCAAAGTCTGCTGATTTAAATGTTAATCACATTTTAAAAATACCTTCACAGCAACATCTAAACTGGTGTTTGACCAAACAATTGGGCACCATGGCCTAGCCAAGTTGACACATAAAATTAACCATCATACCTCTTATTCTGTTTTATGTTTCTACATAGCACTTATCATTATTGACTTTATGTAATTATTTGTTTATTGTCTGTCTTCTTCTACTAAGATGTAAGCTCCTTTAGGATAGGGACTTGTCTGATTGTCCACTGCTCTGTACCCAGAGTGTAGAATGGTGCCTGGCACATAGTAGGTACTCTATAAATATTTCTTAAATGAATAACTGAATGTTCTACTTCACTGAAACTCCTTGACCACAGTTATCAATGACTATCATGTAGCACAACAGAGGAAAAAAACCCAGTTGAGACCAATACAATTTCTTAATTTACAGGATAAAAATTATTAAGGGCTATGTCTTTTATAATTTGGTTTATATAAGTTTCTGTATATATGAAGCATTTTAATTTTCATCCCAGA